GGAAGGAGGAGGTTGAGGAAGAAGGCAGGCATAGCCGGGGGTGAACACAAAAAAAAAAAAAAAAAAAAAACAGCGAAAGTGAAGAAGAAAGAAAGTGAAGGAAGGGGAAGTAGACGGCGAGGGTGACGAAGGTGAAGGTGTCGGCAGCCATAGCCGAGGTGAGGAGTTGACCGGGCGTTGACCAGACCGTTGACTAGAGGGTTGACCAGAGGGTTGACTAGTCGTTGACCAAGCATTGACCGGGGGTTGTCCGCATCGACTCAGCGTTGACCAAGGCGTTGACCAGAGCTGCTGACCAAGATTCTGACCAAGCTGGAGTTGGTGATATCTCGTTGACCCTTCAGCCTATCCCCTTACCCTGTGGATGTGCACTYACCCYGCGGTACTTGCTGAGTCTGTCTGTCTCTCCTTTCTSCATTGAGTCTCTTCTGTCCTAGGTGCTAGGACTCTGTGGATGAAGGATAGGGCCTTGCTGCCAAACCTGCACGGGCTTAGTAGGACCAAAGCTTTACTCTGGCATYTGGAGACCTGGGCATGAGCGGCGAGCGCTYGTTAAACAACTCGTCTAGCCCAATGACCGGTACTGACCGGCAGGTCTACTGAGTTCAGTGTGAAGGGTCCGAACTCCGGGCTGTAGGCTGAAACGAGGGCTGTCTTTAAGTGTTGAGGCCTGGTTGAACCACTCCCCTACCGGACCTACTACAACTGATGATCTGTGTCTGACGACTCGACTGTCCCGAGGGATACAAACCCCTCCAAGGACCGGTACAGACCGGCGGGCTGCTCGGTGTGGCACAGTAGGCTGGAACGGCTGAGTTGTGGGCTGAAATCGCCAGAGGAACCAAGCTGATCACGTCGTCCTGTCTGCGACGTTAAAGAATTCTTGCGGAGTTTGGGGGATCTCCTTAAATGCCTCCTGATCAGCTTTGGTTTGTGTAGTGACAGCCTTAGAGTAGTTGTGAGTAGTGGATCTTAGAGAGTTAGTCAGTAGGTCAGTGTGTCCGGGTAGGTCTAAGTGGTGAGAAGTGGGACGTTGTCGTGCACCTGACGCCACAATGGACGACTATCCGATGTATGGGTTGCTGGTTGGGTTCTCTCTCTGGGGGACCCTCTGGCGCCTCCTCTTTCCTCTGGGTTTCTGGCCCACTTTCACGTGTAGAGTAGGGCCCACTCGTGGTGGTACTTCCACCAACCCCTACACGAAGGAGGAGGAGGAGGAGATGGTCGCCATTCTACAGGAGAGGAAGGAGAAGGAGGAGGCCAAGAAGAAGGCCTTGAAGGAGGAGCAGGCGGCCAAATTGAAGAAGATAGAAGAAGAGATGGCCAGGGAGAAGGAGAGGCTACAGAAAGAAAAAGAAGAGAAATTGAAAGAGGTGGAAGAGGAGGAAGAAGATGAAACGCCACTGCAAAGGAAGAAGAGTCAGCACAGTGGCGGCAGGGATGAGGAGATGGAAAAGCGGATTTCAGAATGGGTCGCCAACTTGTCCCTAGGTGAAGAGGAAGAGGTTGCTATGTATATCCCCAAGGATGAGCAAGAAGCCGCCATGAAAAAATGGGAAGCAGAGGAAGATGTTCTAACGTGGCGGGCGATGGAAGATGAACAGAGGATGGTGTGGAAGCTCGCAATGATGAGGGAGAAGAAGAGAAGAGTGGAGGCGGCGAATGCAGCAATACAGGAATTGGAGGAGGTGCAGAAATTGAGGTTACAATTGACACCCGAGGTAGATCTCGAGCGGAAGGTGGAGATCATCGCCCAGAGCGTCGAGCGTTTAGCCAAAGTGCAAGAAAAACACTATGAGTTTAGTCGCAGCCAGGAAATATCGGTGCGTTCGATGCGAACGGGATTACAGGACTTTGCTCGCGAGTTAGTAGGCGATGTGGGGTCCGAGGTGAGTCATTGCCTCAAGAAGACTGAGCGTTTTTGTGTCGGCGCCATTGAGGGCGTCAAGGTGGCAGCTCCCAAGGAGGAGGATACTCGTCCTCGCAGGGAGCCAGTCAAAGTCAAATTCCCTGATTCCTACAGTGGAAAAAGGGAAGAGAACTTTGACAATTGGGAGGCCAACATCAGGACCTATGTGCATCTGCAACAGGTCTCCCGGGACCAGCAGGTCCTAATTGCGATCCACGCGCTTAAGGACGAGGCCGCTAGTTTTGCAAGGTCCCTTGTTCGCGCTGCTAACTGCAGTGACGATCCAGTTGCATACTCCACATTCACCCCCCTCGTTGAGTTCCTGAAATTGCTGCGCGAGCGATTTGCTGATGTCGCTCGTAGTGTTAAAGCGTCAGATAGGCTGCAGACGATCCACGCCCGCAAGTGGAAGAGTGCCAGGGCACTCAAGAATACAATGGATGAGTTAGTGGCTGTCCCTGACCATGGGGTTACGGACACCCAGTCGGTCGGCCTCTTCTATCGGGCCATACCCGAAGCCCTCCGAGGGCATTTCTTCGCAAAGAGCGAAGACCCTACCACTACGTACGATTCTCTTAGTCGCGAAGTGGTGGCTTTTGAAGCCAAGTCTGCGTCTGTGTCCACCTTCTGGCACAAAGACTTGGATAAGGGAAAGCAATGGAAGGGCCACACTATCTCTGGGCAAGTGAAGACTAAGGATAGCCTTGTCCTAACTCTAGACGAGGGTAGTGTAGATGAGATCCCCTACGATCAGATTAAGTGGGGGTTAGAGGAGAATGACAGCGGTGTGGACCAGGGGAGGACTTACGCTGTTGTTGCGGCTGGAGGGAGGCCGCAAGGAGGACGAGGCCAGGGCCAAGGGGGCCGGGCCTCAGTTCCAGGGCGATCAGGGGGTTGGCGGTAGAGGAGGAAACCGCCAAGCGGGAGGCAGGGGTCAAGGTCCCCCGCAAAACCGTCCTAGGAATAGGTCACCCTATAGGGTAGGAGGATGGCACCCAGGGCTACCGCAGGGTAGGCCTTGGGAAACTTTGGGTCTGGACCAGACTTTATGGCAACAACGATTGGACCGGGGCCAGTGCATTTTCTGCGGTGACCCGGGCCACATCATCAAATATTGTCCTAAGTATCGAGAGACCCGAACGGTTGCCCAAGGGCCAAAAGGCAGCCGCCGGTAGGGGTAGCAACTGCCCCTACCACTAGGCCATGTGGGGAACATAGCGTTAGCCGGCAGGAGACTCCCACACCACATGTGCCTATGGCAGAGGTTGCAGGCCGGTGTCTAGATAGCTGTCCCGAAACTGCTTGTGTTAGAGTTTCGCTAGACACCTCCCTCACAGGCGTGGCCGAAGAGTTGAAGGAGAGGATGCCCGCCTGGGCCAAGATGAAGAAGGAGAATAAAGGACAACTTATATTACTAGATACGGAGATTCTTAGAAGTAGAGTAGGGGCCCTAGTAGACTCAGGGGCCACCCGCAGCTATATTAGTAAGAAAGCGCTGCAGAAGTTGAGGCTGGGACTTAAAGTCCAGAAACTAACAGACCCCATAGTTAGTATCCTCGCGGACAATCGTACCATGGTTGTAGAGGATTACGTGGAGGGAGTCCAGGCGTATTTCCGCCTAGAGAAAGACGGGAAGGTGGAGAAGGTCCTACACTCCCTGACTCTCCTCGTAGAAGACAGCCTCCCATTCGACATTGTCCTGGGGATGGATTGGGGAGAGGCAGTCGGGGCCACGCTCCATTTGAAGGAGCACGAGTGTAGGCTCCCTAGTTCTTGAGGCGAGGCTAAAACTGCCCGCCTGTTCCATGTGTCAGGAGTAGAGAATTCCTTGGTGCATTGCTGCCTTAGTGCCCCCACGTTCGCCAGATTGGTGAAGAAGGAGAAACTGGAGGAACAGGTTTTTGTTGCCTATGTTAGGCCAGTGACTGAGCCTACGGAGGAGAAGCCGATGGACCCTGCGATTGCCAAGCTGCTGGAGGAGTTTAAAGATTTAACTGAGCCGCCGATAGGAGTAGTATTGCGGCCCATCCAGCACCGTATCGAAATAGAGCCTGGCAGTAGAACTCCTAAGGGCGCTGTGTATAGGATGTCTCCACGGGAGTTAGAAGAGCTTCGCAAGCAGTTAGACGAGCTCCTCGAGAAGGGTTGGATTAGGCCCAGTTCGTCTCCGTTTGGAGCGCCTGTTTTCTGTGTCCCTAAAAAAGAGGGAGAGTTGAGGATGTGCATAGACTATAGGGGTCTGAATGCTATTACAGTAAAGAATGCTGAGCCACTGCCTAGGATAGACGATCTCTTAGATCGAGTGCAGGGGGCGAAGTATTTTTCTAAGATAGATCTGAAGTCCGGATATCATCAGATAGAGGTGCATCCTGATGATCAGTATAAGACAACCTTCCTGACTAGATATGGGCACTACGAGTTCATAGTGATGCCCTTTGGACTAACCAACGCGCCAGCCACGTTCCAACGCTGTATGAACGATTTGTTTAGCCCGTGCTTAGACAGATTTGTTGTAGTTTACCTAGATGACATTCTAGTGTTTAGCAGGACCCTCGAAGAGCATCAGGGTCATCTCAGGCAGGTCTTGGAGAAGCTGAGGGAAGCTAACTTCAAGATCAATGCAAAGAATGTGATTGGGCGAAAACCCAAGTTTTGTACTTAGGCCACGTCTTAGACGGAGACGGCGTTAAGCCAAAAGATAGCAAGATCGCAGCGATTAGAGATTAGCCCACGCCACGCACGCTGACAGAGTTGCGCTCGTTCCTGGGCTTAGCTAATTACTATAGGAAGTTCGTGAGGAACTTTTCCACCATTGCTGCGCCCCTTCGCAGACCTTTGAGAAAGGAGACCATCTGGAAGTGGGACAAGGACTGTACGTCTGCCATGAAGAAATTGAAGCAGGCCTTGATAGAGTATCCAGTCCTTAAAGTCGCCGATCCGTCCTTGCCTTTTGTCGTCACGACCGATGCTAGTCAATACGGCATAGGTGCAGTGTTACAGCAAGACGATGGCAATGGGTATAGACCCGTAGAGTTCATGTCCGCCAGAATGCCTTCAGAGAAGGTCGCGRCATCTACCTATGAGAGGGAACTCTACGCTCTCAGGCAAGCCTTAGACCACTGGAAGCACTACTTGCTTGGGAGGCACTTCAAAGTTTATTCTGACCATGAAACGTTACGATCGTTAAAGACGCAGGCCAAGATGACACCTAAGCTTACTAGGTGAGCCGCAGAGATAGATCAGTACGACTTTGAGCTCAAGCCTGTCAAAGGGAAGTACAATGTAGTTGCGGATGCTCTGAGTAGGAGGGCAGATTACTTTGGGGCGATAGTGCATTACCTCGATATAGGGAAGGACCTGCAGCAGAAAGTTAAAAAGGCCTACGCGCAGGACCCTATTTATAGTGACCTCCTTAAGAAAGTCAAAGAGGCCCCAGAGACTGAGCCGAACTACCGCACTACCAAAGGGTTGCTGTTCGAGAAGACTAATGTCTTTGACCGCCTGTGCATTCCTAGTAACGAAGAAATTCGTAGCCTGATTTTGGGAGAATGCCACGACACAGAGGGTCATTTTGGTTGGCAAAAGACTCTAGCCAATCTGATGCGCGCATATACCTGGCCAGGGATGAAGAATGACTGCGTAGAGTATGTTCGCAGTTGTAAGGTCTGCCAGCGTAACAAGAGTTCTACGCGTGCCCCGCTAGGTCTTCTCAGACCCTTGCCCATTCCGGATCAGCCGGGAGACTCAGTGTCCATAGACTTCATGGACACTCAAGTCAAGAGCAGGCATGGCAAGAGCCAAGTTATGGTCATAGTTGACCATTTCAGTAAGTACGCAGTTTTTGTTCCTTTGCCTTCAGAGGCACGTACCGATTTTAGTCATACAGAGATTCTTTGACTGTTGGGTGAGCGAGAATGGAATCCCACTGTCTATAGTTAGCGATAGAGATAGTCGCTTTACTAGCCAGAACTGGCAAGAACTCATGGGAGTATACAAATCTAAGTTGTTGATGTCGTCCGGCCGTCATCCAGAGACTAACGGTCAGACAGAGCAAATGAACAAGATCCTACAGCAAGTTTTGCGCATGTACATTAGGCCAGATCAGATTAACTGGGACGAGACGTTGCCTAAAGTAGCTAGTGCGTACAATAACAGCGTGCATCTAGCCACCTGCCGCACTCCCAACAAACTGCACAAGTCCTTTAGACCGCGTAGACCATTTGAAGGACTCAACTGGTATCAGATTCACAGATTACCACCCGGGACCAGGGAGTTTGCTGTGCAGCACGGGAAAGAACTAGCTACTGTTGTAAAGAACCTCAGGAAAGCCCAGCATAGAATGATAGAGCAAGCGAACAAACATCGTCGCCCTTCACAGTTTCAGGTAGGCGACTTAGTCTGGGTCAGTTCTAAAGAATTTGCACCTGAGGAGAACATCTCGCAGAAGTTACTGCCCACATATAGAGGACCGTGGCCTGTTCTAGAAGTCAAGGGCGGCAAAGATGGACCGTCCTATACTATAGAACTTCCAGCACACCTCTACACTTACCCAGTTTTCCACGCATCAAAGTTATTACCTTGTCAAACAAGTGATCAGTTCCCATCCCGTAGATGGAAGATATGACATCGATGGTATAGTGGCTGAAGATGTCTTCAGAACTGGAGGTAGGGGTCGTCCGCAGAAACAGTACAAGGTTCATTTCAGTTATCAAGAACCGGAAGACGACCGCTGGTTTACAAGATCCGAACTTCTAGAGACAGCTCCCGATATAGTCCGGGCCTAGGAGAGACAGCAAAGGGGTAAAGGTCCTGCCTTGGACTGAAATTTTCTCGGAGGACCTCAAATTTAGGCCGGCGGGAGTGAAGCGGTATTCACCAGTTCGCAGTAGCGAATGCAGATCCCAGGGCTCAATCCCTAGTTCCCCATCTTACCTGTGCACAGTATTGATGTCAACCCGTAGCTTTGAACCTGCGACCTGTAGGATCGCCAGTGGTAGGTAGACTTTCGTAGGTCACAGGGTAGGAGGGATTCGAACTGTAGACTTGTAGGGTAGGAGTCTAAACAGTTCAGAGGCCGTAGCTGTAGGTTGCTTGAAGAGTCAAGGTCGTAGCCGCTACTTACCTGAAAGGGCAAAGTCGTAGCTGCTACAGTACCGAAAGGCCAAGTTAGAGACTTCTAGAAGTGGCCTTTCGGAGTTTGCCTGCATTCAGCAGAGGCAAGTGGTCAAGTGGTGGTAGTCCACCTAGTCCAGTCAGCAGTCCCAGTTAGTCCAGTCCGGTCCAGTCAAGCAAGTACCGTCTGGGACTGTGCACCTCGTGGGCCAAGGGATACGGGGCAGACCAACG